ATATAAAAGATTATATATATTTATATATAAATATTTTAATATATATTAAAAAATATATATATTTTTATAAATATATATATATATATATTTATTTATTTATATTCCGTCCGGTAACGAGCGATCCGTGTATCGGTCAGCTGATGGACCGGTACGTACTGCCCGATACAAGCGGTATTATTCGAAATTGAATACCTTGCTCTCAACAAGCTTGAACACTTGACTCAAAATGTTTAAGCTTAACAACAGTATACTCATTAGACCCTTTAAGTTATTCTTAATCTTATCCCGCTTTCAATGTGGACTAAATCGGGATGTTATAATATCTTTAACTTAAAGGTTTAATGTCCTCATCAAGGTTTGAATCAAACACTAACATGATGTATGTGAGGGTTAGCCCAATTGTAGCTCCATCCATAGAGAGCTCTTTCTACTTAATCCTCTCACCATACTATAATATTAACTCGACTTTGATACCAATTTTATCAGACATCTCTAAAAGCCTCTCACTGCTAAATATTGGAAGAGATACTTAAGAAATGAACATCAAAAGTATTATGTGAACCCTAAAAAAGAACGAATGCAAAATTATCTTATTTAAAAGGAAAAATACAAAAAAAAGGAATGTTATGAACAAGGCCAATGTTCTTTAGTTCAGTGTTAGTGAATGTTGCCAGCTTCGTAATATTTAGAAACAAAAAGTACAATCAATGTACACTTTAGGTTTTCCTATTCAACTTTGATGTCACTTGTCATATCAGCATCAGCATCCAAATCAATCATGTATAGCAAATCTGCACAGATCTTCATTAGTTATTCACTGAATCCACATATCTTCCAAACCTTCTTTTTCATTCACTCGATTAACATTGATTATTAGGTGCAACAGATTGTAATTGTACATTTTGATATTGGTTCTAGAGATTATCATAGATTGTTTTGAATCATGAAAGAGATTACAAGAAACCATGTACTATATAACTCAGATCAGCTAGGAAAAGAAAAAAACATGAGTTGTTCTCACTCATGCAAAAAGTTCTAGCTATTTTACAGAATTAGCATTGCATGCAACCTGGGACTACTCTGAAAATTAAAAGTGCTATTGAGAGAAATATCTTATTTTTTAGCAGAAATCCAAAATAAGAATAAATACCCAAAAGAAGGGATCTTTTCTGGATAGTGGGCTTTCTGTGAAGTGATCAAATTATATGAAAGAGATATGCTAAACAGATATAGGAGAGAAAAAAGATCAAATAAAGGTTTAAGAACCCAGTTGCTCATTAGGAACTTTTGAGTCTAGCACAGATTAAAGAAAGCTAATTTCTTGGAAAGGCTTAATACTCACCCACCAGCAGAACAAAAAGCAAGAGCAAGAAGATCTTCCAGTGTGGTTGGCAGGACGGATGTAAGAAGAGAAGCAGATAGTCCTGCTGCTCCTAGCCCTCCAAATGTTCCTACAACCTGCTTAGAAATTTAAAACAGTCAAATGGTTAAATTTATAACCAATAAAGAATTTCATTCAAATAATTAGAACAATATAATTGTCATCTCAAAATATTTCAACAACAATAATATACCTAAGAAATATCTTAATATTCCTAAATCCTAAGTCATACATCAATATTCAATGCTTATTACCATGAAGAACCATAATAATACACAACTCGATTCGAGTTAATAGTAAATAGACACCTCAAAAAATGTTTCAACGCACTTGGACTTTTTATGTTGATGACCAGTCATTGTAATCTAGAATTTTGATGACGACAAGTGTTACGGCATACTAGTGTACTATGGCCAAAAAGCAAAGAATTTAATGGTATAACCTGATCTAGATTCCAAGCTAAACAGTTCTATATAGACTTCTATACCTTCCATGCCTTTCTCATTGAGGAGTCCATTGATTGAGAACCATAATTATAGCCCTCGGCTAGAATTTAGTCATATATTACAAACTGAAATTTACAAGAAATATTAATATATGACATCAAAGCAGGATATTTTTCTTTCAATTTTCCTTCAAAGCATATTTATTCAATAACCTCTGATCCTCTTCTTATGTGCTCTCTAAGCAATGCGTATGGGAATAAACTAGAGCATACATACTCATGTTGTGGGAAGAACAGCTAATCCCTTCGCCCTACAAACTGTCCTCCAAAAATGACATAGATACGTTCTGAATTGGTATATAACTAACCAATCGAACACTCTATTTACCAGGGCTTTTTTGCCCTACTTGAACCTTGTTTGGGACTCTAGGGACCCTCTGATAGCAGTTGAAGATAATGACAAAGTTGTATTAATTTTGCTAGAAAAGAACTACGGTTTCATCATATGGATGCCTCCTTTTCTTTCTTTATGCCCTTGGTTTTTCTCCTTGAGTCCTCCCAGCAGAGTTAGATTGAAATAGGGCTTTCCATATAATGGTAAAGCTGGACTGCTATGTTCCAAATCCTAATCCAGCTAAAGTTAATATACCGTTCTTGCTTGCATCCAGCTAAGGGGAAAGGTACATATCCTTTGAAAATCACCAATCTAAAAAATATAAAATATATTGATGTCAATAAATGTGAACAACCCTAAAACCAAAATTTCGCTAGTAAACTAGTAATATAGCTTCCTATATATTTGGTAAGTAGACTATTTTTACATGAAATCCCTAAAACCTACAATGTTAGGTGCTCTTTTGGGCTTCCTTTCTGTTAAATGTCATAGAGAAACAAGGAAAAACAAAGAAGCCAGTAAAAAGTAACCTTTTTGCGGAAGACAAAAATGTGAATGTCACATATCACTCTTTTTGATAAACCATCTTGAACATCAAATTTTAGTTTCTATGCCCTGTTAGATAAGTATTTATTTGCAATCATGTTCTTATAAATTCCAAAATATACTAGAAGTTTAAAACCGCCAATTAAATTCCATAAATAAGTTTGGATAAAGTAAGATCCTATCACAATCAAATTAAATTCATATATAATGAGAAAATTTTGCTAGGATCTATCGAACTCATCATCTTAGGAAACAAGTTAAAGGTAAATTGTGAGAAACACAGTACCTAAAAGCAAGGTTTGCTATATCAAAGTATACTGCCTGGTACGAGAGGTACGTATCGGTCCGACAAGTGACCGGTACGTAGACCACCCTATAATGGGCGATACCATTACATGATCCCTTATCGCCCGGCACGGGGTTTGTATCAGTAGGTAACAATCGAAATCCGATCAGTACAAGTCGGTAATGATCAGATTTCAACTGTTACCAGCCAAGTGTTGAGATTGCCCTGTTTCAAATGGTCTAAGTAACTATTTGAACCACTGGAAAGGGTTTTTAAACCCTTTCCGCACTTCTCTTTTAGTCCATTTTACTCTCTTAATCTCTTCAACTCTCTTAAACTCTTTTTCACTTATATCTCTCTCTCATTCTCACATATTCATTCTCCTAAACTCAACAAAATTATGATTTATGGATTAGATCAAATTTGGGAGGATTAAGAAAAAGAACACTCTAATCAAGAGATATGTGTTCTCGTTTTAGATTTTTATTGATTTATGAGATGATTATATTCTATATGGTCAATGACTTAATGTCTAATATGTTGTTTAATATATTTTTGATGGTAGAATAATGTTAATTAAAGACTAATTAAGGCCTTTAATATTGTGATTAGTGTGTTTAATGCTGATTTTTTCGAAATTAGACACTTAATGGGTCAAATCTTTGTATTTCATGGTGATTTATATGTTTGTGATGGTATAATAGGTGTAATTAGGTTTTAATTAAGATTTTTAATACTATGATTAGTGATTTTAATGATGATTTAATCAAAATTTAATCATTATTACGTCAATTCAATGCCTTTAATATCTATTAGGGTGTTTGAGATGTTTATAGCGGTAAAAAGAGACTAATTACGAATTAATTAACTATGTTAGTATTGTGATTAGTGTATTTAACTACGACGATATTGAACCCATATTGGGTCAGTTAAATGTCAGTGTTTGGCATATTTATAATGATGAAAGAAGAATAATTAGTGGGTAATTAACTATGTTAATGGTGTGATTAGCATATTTAATGATGATTTCATCGTAATTTAGGATCAAATACATGCATTTAATGCTTCTTAGGGTGTTTGATATATTTATAGTGGTAAAACAGAGCTAATTAAGGTTTATTTAAGTTTTTTTGTTGCTTAATTAGTGCATTTAATGAAAAATTTAATGGTATTGAGTTAATTCTACGTATTTAATGCTGAATAGGCTGAGTGACATGTTTATAATGACAAAATAAGGTTCAGTACGTATAATCGCACCTTATTATTTGGTTCAATCTTGGTAGGAATATGACACCAAAGGAACAAACATATTAGTTATTTGAAAAGTCCTGGGTGCCAAAGTCCCACAAAGCTTGAGGTGCTAGGCGCTAGCTTAGGCGTCTGCCTGAGCGAAGCGAGATGCTCTAGAATATTATAATTAAAATAATATATAACTAAATAAAAATATGCTAAACATGTTTATGAAGACCAATATTAGAATTAAACTGCTTTGTACACTTGTTATTAATTCTAAAACCTAATATATAATTTCAAAACAATAAAGATTAGAGATTTAACAATTACAGTTAACAATAGTTAAGAAGGGAAAAAAACCGTTAACAGTAGTAGAGGGCGGAAAAAACAAGAGAAAAGTATCATCGATGGTTGACAGTGGGGAAGGATAAGGCAGTGGTGATGGAGGAAGCTACGGACGACAACAACAGCAGCGGAGGAAGCTGCGAATGATAGTCACGGCAACGGAGGAAGTTGCGAACAGCGACGGAAGCTGCGGACAACAGTAGTGGCATCGGCGGCATCGACGAGAGCTATGGACGACGACATCGTGGACGGAGGAAGCTTCCGAAGTGTATGTCAATCGCGGAGGTAGCTACGGTCCTCTCCCTCGATGGTAAAAGGAACTGCTAGCAGCAGAGGCAGGAGCGCTTTCTAAGGTTGATCGCTCGAGGTCACCCATGCATGCGGGGGTGACTTTTGCAAGTAAGAAAGGGGATCACTGGGTGTCGAACGAGACTTAAAAATTTGGTTTGGTTCAACTATTTTGAACCAGGCACTCGCTCGAGGCACCCAACGCCTAGGTTCGGGCGAGCACCCAAATGGTGCCTCATTGAAGCACGCTGCCTGGTTCACTGTTGAGGCGCTCGGGCCTCGCCTCACCATTTAAATCACTGAGGCACATGATAACGTTTAGGATCATGCCCGAAAGATAGACGAGAACCATTATCATCGACAATGCATTTATTGTGATTACATCAACAAGGGTGGAGAAATAACCAAGGTAAAGATGCATTTGGCCGGTGAGTATCCTAATGTTACAACATGCAAGAAGGTTCCGATAGAGGTCGATAAATCATTTGAAGACAAGTTATAACAAGCAAGGGAAGATACAATGAAAAAGAAGACAAGAGTTGAGGAAGAATACGATGGGGCTACACAGGAGTTCATTTATGACGAATATGAGAGTCGTGATAATGAAATTGACCCAGATCTCAAAGCTGGTAGTCGTGCATCATTAGAGCATTAGTACATATACGAGAAAGCAACGAGGCATCGACGACCTGACTCATAATGGGAGCATGGCGATGGTAGTGGGCTTGTGCTATAAGGAATCTAGAGGTCGACCAGCGTGAGACAACCAACTGCCCCTCAGTTAAGCTGAATTAGTAGCATGAAGCAGGGTGGAATACATGGTTTTATGAGAGGACTTGGCAGGAGGTCAGTATCAGATATTATTGATATTAATTTGCAAGCCTATCCTCCACAAATAACAAAGCATACATGGATTGACGATGCATATACAAATGAAAAGAAACGGGATATTAGGAAGGCAATTGCAAAATGGTTCAACTTCCATAGGATTTTGTGGATTTATAAGAGGACTTAATAGGAGGTCAGCACTAGATATTATTGATATTGATCCGTAAGCTTATCCTCCACAAATAACAAAGCAGACACGGATTGACGATGTATATACAAAAGAAAAGAAATAGGATATTAGGAAGGCAATTACAAAATGGTTCAATTTCTATAAGATTCCAACAAATACAGCCTAAGGTCCATATTATCAGAGCATGATCTCCTCTATTCAAAAGTCTGGTATGAGGATCTAACCTCTAACACCGAAGGAGTTCACGATGTATATTTAGATAAGGAGATGGCAGAATTGAAGGATGAATTGAAGGATTGAATCAAATCCTTCAAGAGGAAGTGGGACGAATATGAGGTAATACTGATGTGTAATAATTGGATAGGGCCAACAAGAATGAGTATCATTATTATTTTTTTTTATTGCAACAGAAGGGTGGTTTTTCATAAGTCAGTAAATGATTCCAAGAAGATTCAAGATGCAAACTATATTGAAAACCTAATTGACATCATATTAGAGGAGATCAGACCATAGTACATTGGCCAGATAGTCATCGACAATAGAGCTAATTTCAAGAAGGCTAATTTACAATTGATGGAAAAAAGAAAAATATTGTTTTGGACTCCATGTGCAACTCATTATATGGATCTAATACTGAAGGATATTAGTGAGCTACCATCAGTCAACAAGAGTGTAGCTCGAGCACAATCGATCACAAAGTTTATATATAATCATCATTAGGTCCACTCTTTAATGCAAAAGTATATAAATGGTGAGATACTCAAACTTGGAGTCTTTCGATTTGCTACAAATTTCATTGCCTTAAGGTCAATACAACAAAAGAGGCAGGGCCTTAAGGCAATGGTCACCTTACAGGAATGGTCTAATTCCAGGTATTCGAGATCGAGCGATGGAAAAAAGATGGAAAAGACTAATCTTTCTTTTAGATTTTGAGATACCATGAAAGAAATCATAATAGGAGTAGAATCATTTTATGTTGTCCTCCGTAAAGTCGATATAGACAAGCGTCTCCGAATGCCCAATCTTTAACATATGCTAATTATAGTAATAGAGGAGGTCAAGAAAGTATTCAAAGATGATTTTAAGGCCAAGCAATACTTACAGATCCTCGATCACAGGAATGAAGTTCATATGGACTAAGATATCCATAATGCAAATAAATTCATATTCAATATAATTTAATTCATATTTTTTTAATATTTAAAATATTCTTAATAACAAAATTGTTTGTCTTGTAGCATATTATCTTAAATCCAACTATACTGGTTGATACACGCAATAATCATTTTTTAATTTTGCATGTTGATGTACCAAATTTTTGCAATAACATTATAGTTAAAATTGGTCTAAGAACATTCTGGTATAGATATTTATAATATTATTTAAGACTTTGTATGGAAAAAAATTATTAATTAACATATACAATAATTTCAAATGTAAGGTAGACTAGTAACAAGCATACACCAAGTTTAGTATTCATATGTATGTAATTTACGAAACTCATCATGGTAAAATAAAAGAACTCATTAAAAATATGATGTCCAGCAACTGTTCATATATGGATTGACGTACTAACCAAACATGAGAAGAACTTCAGCCTTACATTCAACTTACCACTTCACGAATCTCCTGCTCAAAAAGTCTTGCAGCTGCAGCAGAACTGAAATTCTCTAACACCTTCATGCTAAAGTCCTCTGAGGTATCGAGACTAGCACATGTTTCCAAATACACCTTACGTTCATAATCAACTGAAGCAGGCCACCGTTTTTCAAAGCATTCCATATAGAGATTTGCTTCATCAGAATTTCTAGATTCTAACCACATTGAGTAGTCAACAAGAAGTCTCTGAAATATCACCATCACAAAAATAAATGACAACGATGTTCAAAGAGATCTTGATTAAAGAAAATGAGGTGATATGGCACAAATACAACATGCTTAAGATGTACTTATTTAGAATGAATACTGGAACGGCTTGTGATTGATTGAATGAGATTATCTACAAGTTATTCTGTTAGCTATAGGCTTTATTTTGAAACAAGTTACTGGTATAATGGAACAAGTTATGATTATACATTGGCTCTCCTTCAGCATGATCCAACTTTCAGAGGGGTTTTAGATAGAGATCCTTCACTCTATACAGGTTGCTTGGGAAACATAAGCACATTAGTCTGTTATCCAGGCTGATGTTGAGACCAGCTGAGTAGCAGTTAGCTCACTAATCTGTTTTATCAGATTCAGTCCTAATACGTCTCAGTTTACACATGCATTTTGCTGCTAAACTAAGTTTCAGAATTTGTATGGATATTTGGCATTACTTGGGGATCCCAGCCTCTCTCAGAAGTTTAAAGGCAAATAAATTTCTAGGTTTGCTTACTAGAATGCTTAACAGAACAGCAACTTGGAATGTCTGCAATTTCTTTTTTGCTGGAAGGTTAACACTAGTATATTCAGTTTATTTCTATGTCAATTCATACATCTCTTCTTGTTGGGTTTTAGTAAAAGTTTTGTAACACTCCAGTTTAGTTTCATATCGGAAGTGGGCTAAGAATAAGATTAAGGTCTGATAGGTATACTAATATTAACTTCAGCCTAGTGATTCAGGATCAATGAAGTTGATAAGTCAATTATCTCATCAGATTGGGTCATAACTATTGGTATTAGAGCTGATCTAATATTGAGCCATGATGAGGGACTCAAATAGGAAATGACTATCCATAGACGAGATACATCACAGCATTGAGCCACCACTGGGCTATGCCACAAAAACACCATGTTAGGCTTTGATTTGAGTTATCCTAGGTCTTAACGAGGACATTAAAACCTTAAGTGGGAAAATTGTAACACCACACCATGTTAGGCTTTGATTTGAGTTATGTTGGGCCTTGATGAGATTGTCAAGCCCTTAAGTGGGAGAAATTGTAACACCTTGATTTAGTCCTACACCGAAAGTGGGCTAAGACGAAGTGTGCTAAGATTAAGACTAAGATTAAAGTCTGATGGGTGTACTACTGATAATTTTAGTTTAAGCATTTTGAGTGGTTTAGGCTCAATGAAGTTAACAAGTTGTTGTTTCATCAAACCGGGTTATGATAAGTTTTCTAAATAGGCTTGAGTTGTTGATTAGAACATTCCTATCAGGTAAGAAAATGGCAAGAAAAGAGGCCTGCATATTACATTGGGAGACTCTTACCAAGCCTAAAGTCTTAGGTGGTCCTCGCATAAAATATATTTTAATACATTGTTGAGCTAAAGTTATTTTATAAAATAGAATTATTACTTTTATTATGTCCAGAACTGGTCCAGCAGACCATTTTTATTACTTTTAATGGGCTCCCGAACTGGTCTGTCAGAAATTGATCAATCCAGCTCATACCGGTTCACACTGACCTCTATTGACAAGGTATAGGTCGGTACTAGGACCATATCAGCCTACTTAATGAACATTATTGGTACCGGACATAAAATTTAGAACTTTATGGTAAGTATCTTATATTTGTCACCTATCAAATGTCTGGTTACTTTGAGAGACAGTATCCTTGAGAAAAGTGAGAAAAAGATATTAAGAAGAAAAAGAAAAAGAACAGAAAAGAGAGAGGTAGAGACGTAAAGGGGATTTTATTGATAGTAATACTTCAATTGTATCCCTTAAAGATTACATAGTTCATCTGTTTAAAGAGGTACAGCACTAATTCTACTCCATCTAAGATTATTCAGTCTTATGACCGATCCTTTCTTGAGTCCCAATCAAATTAAAAAAGGGTGAGGTGTCAATTAGTTTGCTGTCCAAACTTGTCCATGCCTTTAGTTCTCTTCCATACCTCTGACAAGTCACAAATTTCTCAAGACCTTATCCTCTTAGCTGTCCCTCCTGGTGTGAGTTGAAATTGACCTGATTTAAGTTCGGATCAAGTTAGGACTCAAAAGTGAACAAAAGTTTGGGCTGCTGCAGTCTAAGTTTGACTAGGACTTAAGAACATCCTTTGGAAAAGATGGCCATTTATAATTATTTACACATAATGGCTACTGTGAATTCAAGTCATGCCTTTTGGCTTGACTCATGACTATGTCTACCTTGTGAGGACTACAGAAAAATAAATACTAGACTCTTCTTTTGTGGGACATATTTGTTTTTCTTTCCGATAGATACATGGACAACAGAGGTGGGGAAGACCATTTTTGCAGCCCCTTTGCGACAGGAGATATTTCACCATCACTAGTTGTTCCTGGTGAGAGAAAATGCTTTTTGGCATGATTTCAGTCAATTAATTTTTATATCATCTTAAAATGGATGATTGCATGTGGACTGCCACTGCCACTAAAGCATTGAAAGTGCAGAAGCAGACTATGGCATCTATGCTAGCATTGGTAGTTCCAGTTTGACAAGACCTTTAAGATCCAGATGGACACATCCAAGACAAGAATACACAGAGTCCTATAAGATCACCCGATAGTATATTTTAGTCAAGCTTTGCATGGGAGATCACAAACAATCAACTTCTAAGGGAGAGCTTCTAGTAGTTGTGACAGCAATTAGAAAATGATAACCATACTTGATGATATGAGAAAATAAACCAACCCCCAACGGAAAGCTTATGTGTGGACTCCCAAACCACGAAGTACTCAACAAACTCCATTATAATTTGGCCAACTCTTATGCCACATCACCTCAATAGTGTGCATACGGGAAATCAGAAATCTTCCTCATGGTTGATCCATATGGGGTTCCAATGCTTTGAAAGAGACTTCCTCGCAAAGTAATGGAACAGACTTCTCTCTCTAGAATTTTAGTTTAATTTCTTCATCTCGTCCCTTGCTTCACAATAAGAACCGACTTTAGTCTCATTGAAGAACCTGTCGGGCAAATTCCTGACACCCCTCTGTTTCGATAGGCTTTTTATCTATTAGTTCAGCTTGCTCACCCTTGGTACTCATATACATTGATTCACCTTCATGCTCCTTAGTGCAGAAGAATTCATATATGGTTTCAAGTCTTATGGCAATATGGCAAGTCTTACATGTCTCAGTTCTAGGAAATGCAAATTTACTTGGCATTTCACTGTTTAACATGTCCTAGAATCCAATGGCTGACTTTTGTAAATTATTATATCAAGATGCATTACATAAATTTTTCTAATAAGGTTGTGTGCACTGACCCTCCCTAGACCTTACATTAGCAGGAGCCTCATGCAGTAGGTTCACTCCTTTTTTGAAACCATGTTGGGCTTAAAATCTACAATGAACCTTTGTCAAGACCATGTTACAAGGTTCTAAATTTTAATCCAGTACTGATATCAGTCTTTGGGCAGACCAGTTCCATACTAATACAATAGGGTCTACCATGTGTCTGTATACGGGCACGAAGAAGAGAAGTGATGGTGGAGAACATACTAAAACCACGCATATCGCTTAGTCTTCACCCAAGATTAGCTGATGGACCAATAAACACCAGTCCAAATCAACAAGTACAAATGGTATATTAAACCTTGTCATGTTATACCATTTACCAAACTTAATTTGTATCCTAAGGTTCCCTTTGGCGGTTCCTACTTTCTTGCTTTCCTTGATGAAATTATCACTGCCAAAAATGCTAGCTAGCTACAGAAATGAATTATCATCCTGAGCATCACATGAGACAGAGGACCTTGACCTCTGGCATTCTCAGTTTCCAAGCATGAAGTAGTTTATCACAGTATGATATACCAACAAGAACTATTTTCATCATATTCCATAATCCATGAGTAATCCTTTATGATATAACAAGTTCCAGCACCACATTTGAGTATGTAACAATTATTACAGCATATATCATTGCTATTAACCCAAAGAACATTCCATCAGTGCCTCACATCCAATGCTTTTGACTAATTATGAGGAATCCCAATGTGTTTGTCTTCACAAACGTAAGCTGTTTTCAGTAACAGTCAGCCCAACATTTTGCTACAACAATAAAATTTTCTAATAAAATGTACATTGGAATTTATTTTTATCAATGTATAAATCAATTCACCAAAAGAATTTAGACAAGGACAGTTGAAGTTGAAACCATCAATACTGCAAAGTTGGAATTTAGGAACATTGGTCTTTAGTGTAAAGTATTTAGTTAGGACTTATGGCTTTGTTGTTGTTATTGTTGTAAAGAATAATATTATAAAATTCATATTTATGTAAGTATATATAGTCAGTAGATTCCATCCAAACAAGGGCCATTACTGTTGTTGATAGATATATAAGATCATATTTCTTGTTAAGAACAGATAAATAAATTGCATTAGAAACTTAAATTTAAGTTAAATTAGTAGAAAACAACTGTACAAAACAGAGATGAGGATTAAAAAAATATACTTGTGCATCCACAAGGGCTGGGCTGATTATATCATTTTGGACAGCTGAAGTGGCAATTGTGGAACCTGCTTTTTCTCCTCTCAAGGCATATGTAGGAAGAAGGTCAATATTTGATAATCGAAGAATGGAGTCTATCAGGTTGACTGCTCTGGCTTTTGCTGTTGCAATCTGGACTATTAGAAGTATTAGTTCATTAAGAGTTGAAAAGAACTGCTAGATAAATCAAGTATTGAAGAAACCATAATCTAGGAATTTAAAACTATCATTTATGCTGACAATTCTTAGTGTTCTGACTAATGTGTCTACTATCACACATACCAGAGACATAATATTCGTTCTCCATGAAACACTCTCACTTTCAATTCTCACAGCATAGTCTTTTACACTGCCGATAACTCCATTAATTGATGTCAAGTCTTCAATGGCATTTTCATACTCTTGCTTCACAATTCTTTGGCAAGACGATAGTAACCGGTCAGCAATTGCAAGTGGCGTTTCAAGTTTCAGCTTTACTCTCTCCATTCCAGTTTCTGTTGTTCCATCTAGAAGACTAAGTAAGAACTTCTCAAGTGCATAAAATCTACTGCTTATCCAACGATGATCATTGGATAAAACTTCTTCATAATCTCCCACACTGTAAATTGAAGAAGACAGCTTGGCTTCCAATGCAGACCGTGCAGACACAGGAAATAACATGATGTTTTCGGCATTAAGCAGCTTACGAGCATTCTCTTTAACAAAACTGGTAGCTTCCTCAAGCTACATCCAATCAGCAATTAACAGAGAATTAGTTGAATGGACAAATCTGAATAGGAGATGAACAAAACAATAATAATAATGACAATATATATATATATATATATATATATATTATAAAATTATTAATAACTTGAACAGTAGAGGCTTTAATAAATTAAACCTCACTGGCTGTTCGATAAAGATCTAATTTGTTTAAAACAAATATGACTTTTTTCTTCCACTGTTGGACATACAGGAGAAAGGTGACCTGAAAATTGGAAAGATGAACTGTCAGATACCTTAATACAAAAATAACAGCAGTTATACTTCATTCCACTGCTTGAAATGCAAAAAAATAAATATTATCCAGCTAAAGCAAGAAAATGTAAGCAAAATAACCAGCTGAAATGCATTTGAGCATTCATGTAAACAACACTACAAAATAAAGATATGTTATTACTAATAATATATGGAGAACAAGGTCATCACAACATAGAAGTTATCCAGGAAGCACCCTACATAGCTATTGACAGATTCTCAAGTATAACCTCTCAGTAAATAAATAGATTCCAACATTGTGGCTATATTCCCTGTACAAATTTTTGCGTGTACTAGATTAAAAAAAATTGACATAATATAATAATTATTATTTTATTTTTCCTGATCGGTAAAATCCATGGCATGGAAAAGAAAGAAAAGAAAAAGAACAAATCAAACCCAATTCGATAAGTTTCTATATCGAATGTAACTTATCCTAAGGGTTCAGACCATGGTTTATAATTTCGTACCATACCGGAGTATCGAGCTCAGCTCGGTACGGTACAGTACGAGTATACCGAGCGATAAATTTTGAGGTACCGCTATATATATATATATATATATATATATATATATATATATAAGTAAAAAAAAAAAAAGGTGACATCACCTCAGTTTTCTACTCGCGTGGGGAGAAGGAAACCTTCTCCCCATGCAAAAAAAGGCGACGAGGCGACGTCGCCTCGTTTCTTCTGCCTACGTGGGGAGAAAAAACGTCGCCTCGACGATGCTCGATTTCTTCTCCCCGCAACGTCGTCGAGGCCTCGTTGCCTCAAATGAGATGGGAGAGCGGCGCCGGATCTCCAGGTTCTCCCTCTTATTTCTTCTCCCTCAGCTAATACCACTCGGTAGCGAGCGGCGACAGTCAAAATCAACCGTCACCGACCGATTTAGAGTGGTAATGGGGCGGAAACAGCCCCAATCAACGGTACTGCCCGATAGTGGGCAGTATTATTCAAAATTAAAATCCTTGGTTCAAACAATCAAGGATGACTTTCAAACTTAATTTGAGATGAACAGTCTAAAGTACATGAATGAGGATTAAGATTAAAATCACTATATCTTGTTATTAAATCTGTTGAAACAGACTTTTGTGCAATATGACTGGCAAGTGGCATAGATCTAAGAAGACATATCCATACTTCAAGTTGGCACATCAACTAGCTGTGTCATTGGGCATGATAACCACAAAGGAGATGCTGATAAAGTAATTTGTGCCATCGATCGATTCCAGTTTGATATGCCTGGTATATTTTGATGTCGTCTAAGATGTTCTTTTTCTTTTACCGATTCCTCAACCATAAGTCAGAAATCAGTTTGAAATCAATGAGGCCAAATCAAACTCATCTGGAATTGATAAATTGTGGTCAATAGTAGCCGACTTCCCAGCCTCAGAGAAGGAAAACGAAGTGGGAAAGAGCAGGGAGGAGGAGGAGAAAACAAGAAGCCATGATGCAGATAAAGACAAGAAATCATCTATGGTTATGAAATAAAGAAGATTTGTTATGTACCATAACTATTACATTGCTCGTCATCCAATATCACATAAGATAAAAAAGAAATAAATTAGGGAGAGAATATAGCAGTCAGAGAGCAGCCTTTACCTCTTATAGAAAATGATATCAGCACAAATTTATTCCAAATCCATGATGTACTCTTTCAAACTTTAAGCCAAGGTGATTAGACGAGCATTGGAGTGACCATTGTTCTTGAAAGAAGCAGGTTAATAAGTTTCAAGCTTGTTTATATGCCATATGGTTATACACAATAGTCATTTATTGCAATAATATCTTTGTACTATATGATTAATATTTATGTTCTAATAAGCACATAGAAGTTATTCATTAATGCATTTTATCCACTTTTTAGTAGCAAATTATATAAATGACAGTTATGTCTTGATTGGTTCTGTTCTGACCAATTTTTCTGGTATGGTAGTGTAGATTCTAGCTAAGCCTCATCCTAATACCAATCTTGTGAACTATAGTTGATAATTCATCTAGCTAAATGCCAACATGCATGAGAAGAACCTTAAAAGAGATGTCGGCACATCAATGAAATGAGAGTTAATATCATGGTATGCAATTTCGAATGGTACCGCCCGGTATGGGCAGTATGTACCAGTCCGACGACATACCGGTACGCGGACCGCCCGTTACCGGACGGAACGTGCTACAGTGCTTCAGTACTACACTGTAGCAGTGCTACATTGCTACAGTAAGAGGAAGAAATATTTAAAACCGCTCGGTAACAGTGATACAATACTCCAACGGTCAAATTGACCATTGGAGCCCTTTCTCATAGTATTTAAACCTCTTTTTCTCCCCTATTTCACTCCATTACATTTTCATACTCTCTTAAACTATCTCAAACTCTTTTTTTCTCACATTTGTGCTCTCCTAAACTCTACAAAACAATGATTTGTGAATTGAATCAAGGCTAATTTGGAAAGATTAAGAGGAAGAACTTTCTAATCAAGAGGTATGTTTACATAAGGATAATTCGTAATAGACTGAAATACGAATCATGTACAAGATATTCTTCAAAGCTCGAAAAAGATATGTGATACTATTCTTACCTAATTTACATTGATTTTGCTAAACTTATGCTATTACTATATTTATTTCTAACTTAAAAACCCTATCCTAACTTTTTTTTTTATTTTCAAGTATTTTCAGAGGGTTTTACACATAAATTAGGTGTACCGCTCAGTACGCCCTGGCGTACCGCTCGGTACACGGTACCGTACCATACCGAGCCAACCTCGAAACACCGGTATGGTACGGTATTACATACCTTGGTTAATATGCATAAAAGAGTCCAAGGAAATGTTAACGCCTAACCTAGATGTTTTATAAACAGAAGATCATGTTACCAAGTAGTGATAATTCAATAATTTAAGGGTCAAATTGCATGGCAACACTTAATGATAAAGGGTGTGTCACCAAGTCATGTTTCATTTTTTAATTGGTCTACTCAGACTACATTTATGTTTGATTGTTTGTGCAAAGGAGTCATCTAGAAGCAAAATACTAGCCAACTATTTAGAGGGAAAAACAGAGAGAAATAAGAGGAAGAGAAGGGAATAAGTGATAACTAGACTTAAATTAGTACTTTTCTCATATTTAATTAACATGTCACAAACAAGTCATCATTTAGTCCGTACTATGGACTCCATAGTTTGCATAGAATTATTTGCAGTAATATCATTTTGCATATTTAAATAAGAGAGTATTGCCAGATTAACTACCCAGTGATTCCAGAAGGAGATCACCAATTTGGTGTATGTCTTGCAATGTAAAAAAGTATCCTTTCCATACAAAAAATCTATGTTTAATTCATTAAATTTTTATGCTCTATTTTCTAAAAATACTGGATCAAGCATGTAATATTGGACTATTAAATTTTCAGTAGATTTTCAACTATATACTTCATACCAAGTTTTTAAATACCAGCATATCGCCTGGTATTTACTAGTTCGACAGGGAACCGACAAGTGGACTAGGCAATTTTGTTCAGTCCGATTGAAAGAAACAAGTTTAATAAGCTTTCTACCTTTTTAAAAGTTTTGGCTGAAAATAACTATTGACAGCTGTCAACAGTTACTGATAAGTGATAATAACCTTTTATTATCATCCTGCTTTTTTCCTATTTTCCTCCCATTTCACTGTCTCTTCCCTCTGCCTTGCAGCCTTAGCCATCAAGACCTCTATCTTCACCATTGTCACCATCATACATCGCAATTACTTTCATCCCATTTGGTATTCACTTATCCTCCTCTTTCAGTTCTACCTCTGCTTCCGATTCCTCCACCACCTCCCTCTGGCCAAACTTACTGGCTGGCACAGGGCATACTGACACAGAGTACAACCCACCATACTATTACCATACTAGGGAACGGGATGAGTTTCACATAGAGACTGTAAACCTTGCTTTGTACAGCCTGCACTTTGTTTCCAACTGTGCATTCAATTTTTTATCATCAGAATTTTAGTTTTGTGTTTCAAAAAATTCAGATCAAGAAGCTTAAGTTGGAGTAGAAGGAAAATGATTTTCTTTGCATTTGGGATATATCTAGCATCTGCAATGTGAAAAGGAAACAAGCTCCATAGCTGGAAGGCAGAAAAACCAGAAGTCAAATAGTCAAAGTTTATGTCCTTTAAGTAAATTTAGTATAGAATCCAGCATAATCATCTTAAAATTGCACAGGATCTAGTTTACATGACCATTTAGGTCATCTTTAATTATTATTTTTATCCTTATATCTTCAATTACATATTAAATTAGAACTCTATCCACTTACAAACTTGTGTAAACCAAATGAAAGCTTTTAGATTGTGGCTGTTCAATCACATGGGATACTGATGTTTCAAAGGTCAACCATCAAAGTACCTGATTAGACTGATGGCAACAATGGCCTTGTCTCTTAATAATGCTCGCCATCAATGAATATATAACAAAATATAATGTGCTTTACTCAATACAATATCATAAGTTGATAACCATTCTCGCAAGAAGGGGCTCAAAGCTTTTATCCCCATAAAGAACACTATCCTCATCTGTTTTTCTCGTGTGCATTTTTAATTACTTCAATTAAGTTCTTTTAAAGTTTTAATATGAAGTATGAACCTAAAAATTCGAACATCGAATGGTACAAAATGAACTTTATGAGGGAATTGGAAGGCGATAGAAGCTAAATTGAATAGTTATGACATTATTTTAAATGTTAGCAAAATAGTAAAATAGAAGAATATGGTTGAATGGGTGAAGATGTTGAGGGAATTGGAAGGCGATAGAAGCTAAATTGAATAGTTATGACATGATTTTAAATGTTAGCAAAATAGTAAAATAGAAGAATATGGTTGAATGGGTGAAGATGTTGATCAATGGTAAGACCGGTCTATACATATACTGATGATGTAGGATGCTTCACAATGGATTTTTTTTATA